AGAGGATAAACAAAACTTTCAATTTAACAGCAGGACACAACAATTCAACAAAGAGATAGCAGCATTATATTTGTCTTATACATGAAGGCCAGGCCATTCTCTGACTTGAAGATTGATAAAAACACAATATATATATAAATATATATATATATAAGGAAAAGCACATAGCCCTACACTTCAGAGTTTATGCTTCTTGTTTAACTTTTCTTTCCCAGCTCAGAGAGCGAGAGAGGGAGGAAACGTAAATGTTAATGCAGAAGACCATCAATGTTTCGTTTTCCTTCAGGCCCTTTTGTGTATCATGATGAAACATTGTCTCCGTAGATCACGGGCCGGTATTTAGGGTGGCTCGAAAGCTGGACGGATTGTTTTTGTTTTCGCAGGGTCGTGAAATGTAGCCACAGAGAGTCGCAATTTCTTGGTATTAATTGTAGCCCGATGTATAGCACTCTTGTATTGCCTATTTGTTATGATCTCAGTTTGGTCAGCTAAAATCACAAAGATAGCATCACTTAACGGATTCACAGTAATCCATTCTCCACTCTACATAACTTAACAGATTCAGTTATGAGAGTCCAAGTTATAGAGGATAAAATTTGTTACTCAAATCAACTATTACAACCCGTTATTAGATATTCGTTAATAGCCAAACAATCAACTATTACAACCCATTACTAAATATCCCATAATTGCTAAACAGGTAATATAGAAGCCTTTTGGAATAGGATATTGTAATTTTAAGTATCTAACTACTTGAATTGGCTTAAAATGCTAATTTTGAAAAGGTTTTTATATAAGCCTTTCATAATAGAGGATTATAAATTTAACATATAAGCCTTTTTGTGGCAAAGAAACATGTTTCGCTTGAACTAAATATCATATGAAAACAAATTTATCCTTGCTACATCTTTTTAACTAAAAAAAACAAAAATAAGTCAATTAATGTTTAAGAGTAGTCTTTAAGAGTTAAGAGTTCTTTTTACACTCAGGCTATTTTCCATGTTTTGCACAAAGACAATCATTTTTCATTTTTCCAGTTCATATATTCTGTTATCTACCGCTTTTTGCGAGCACGAAACTGTTCACGGGCCGCAAGAATTCTACTCTCTCGATCATGAACAGACGGTTGAGTAGCTTTAACATCATCCTACTGTACCTTCAAATCACCTGTTTGATTGTTTTCGCTCATCGATTGATTGGTGGCACCACTGTTTTTTTTCCCACAAAAAAAAGAATAAATAAATAGAGGCTCAAGCAAAAGCAATGACGATTTTGAGACGCTGCAAAAGTGTGAAATTTTTCTCAGTCGTACCTTAGCTTAGGAATTTACTTTGTCGAGCTTGGCTAAAACGGGCTGCACCCAACGCATCTCAACGGCACACACATTAAGCATTCATTAGCTTAAATGACAACATAAAATTAAAAACAGAAAGGCAAAAAATCTGGAAACATTAGCATAAACCATAAGTGGTGAACTTTAGCATAAACCATAAAACATAGAAAAAAAAGGCAAAAAAAAGAGACAAAGGCTGGAAACTTCAGCATAAAACACAGAGAACAAAAACTAAATTTTGCTACTCATTGTCACTTGCATAAGCTAACTAATCGCTCAATATACCTCAAAAATGATAAAAATGTTTACACAGAAGAAACATATGATTCCATGTTTTAGAATAGAAAATTAGATGCCTAAAAATTCCATTTGAGTACATAAAAATTTAAAACAAAATGACAATAATTGATAGAGATTCAACTTCATACTACATGAAAAGTAAAAAAGTCTAATATAAACGGTCTTAAAGTGCACAAGTATATTTAAACTTATAGAAAGTGTTTCACTAGATTCATTCTCTTGACTATTAGAAAATAGAACTCTCCAGGCTACAATTATCCCCGACTACAGTAAAGCACTCTCCAGACATGACTAAAGTTCTTCCGATTCACCTCCAATCGAATTGTTCCCTACAACCAAATGATAACATTATCAATAATAATGAATATATGAAGAGGAAAATCAAATGTCAACATTGACTTACCAAGTCGTGTTGCAAACAAATCTCTAGTCGCTTGCACTAAAGTAGGCTTGCATGAAATTTGTGTGGGAAGTTGACCTAGTCTTTGAAGCCGTTTTTTGTTTATGTGAGGGATTTTATATCGATTTACTCCTCCTAATTTCATGGGTTCTTTCATGCATAATTACAATGTCAACCACATGTAATTGAGCTTGATGGGTGAATAGTCAGAGAATGCCTTCTCTACTGCACTTACAAGCTCAGGGTGTTAGATATGCTATAAAAGCTTGGCTTTCAGATATGAACAATTTCATTTTGATCTGGCAATCATGTTTCGGTCAAAGTACCTATGCTTACAGTTTATTTATTTATGAAATCATACTCCTTGTCTTACATTGAGATAGTGTGGCTCGTGGTGTCTCGAACAGAAAGGTCACCTATCGGTTCCTTGTAAGACTAAACTATTCGTTCACAATCTAGACAGGCAATGAGACCCCTCTTGGAAAAAGACTGTAGTGTATTCTTGATTCACTTTATCTTTGACTGGAGAACTACACTAGTACATATGATAAGTATTGAACAAGACCACAGAAGGATAAGATTATGAGACTCACTGTTGTTGTAATCTAGACCTTCAGTTATTGATGTGTTCTCTAAAGTTGTAAGATAATATAAAATGGGCATATGTATTCATTACTTGTTTATTTGATTTACCAAGGGTGATTCCTATTCTGTTAGGATGACATACTCGGTACTTCGGTAAATTAGAGTGTTTATATGATGTGCTGTTATAAATTATTTACGGTCACTATGTCCCAGTGCGCTGGGTTGATGACGTTCCCGAAATGAGCTCAGGAAGGAATATTATGTCAAGCCCTGCAGGCGGATGTGTTTCGACATAATGATTAATGATCTTAGTGGTACTAGTTTCAAAAATGAATAAAGAAGTTGATTAATTATTTTGTCAGTAATTTAATTAATCAACGGACGTTATATCTTAAACATATGGAGGTAAATCGATCAATTAGATTAATATTTATTAATCCAGTAGAAGTTTGATTTATTGAATAAATTGGAGCTAAATGGGGAGAGCAATAATATTACTCTAGTGGGATGTATTATTATTTAATTGTTGTGACCATTTTTGTTACGTTTTTCGTTACCGTTTTATCATTCTTTTTCTCCCGTTTTAGGTCTTTTATAGTTGGTTTTTAGTTCGTTTTATAGTTTATTGTGTGTTTCGCTCTATTTTGGCTTTCTATGTGTTTTTTTGTATATTTTGTCGGTTTTCTACGTTTTTTTTCTTGTTTTTGGTGTGTAGGTCAAAAGCCCGTGAGGAATAGATTTAGCTCAAAAATGGGCTGGGAAACCATGGTTGGATAGATCGATTCGTTGGCAATATATAAGAAAAGGCGAAACTCGATTTTGAGTTCGTACAAGTCCGGACGGGCGAGATATGCGAAGTCGTGCACGTAAGCCGCCACCTTCAAGTCAAAAGCTTTGGGAGAACATGTTTTCATGAATAATTTAGTCATGCAAGCATCGTTGAATAGAGGGGTTCATTAGCGACGCCTAGGAAAAAACAGAACTTAATTTCAAGTTCGGACAAGCCCAAACGAGCCCAAAACGCAAAGTCGCACAGCCCAGTCTTTCTTAGCTGCATTAATCAATCTTAACTAGGGCAGAGACTTACAACTGAACAGCCTTAGTGGCGCTAAGGTGTGTTTTTCATGAAAAAATGCATTTTCTTGAGCTTTTCAAGGGAGGTGTGCCTTAGGATCAATGGGGAACATGTTTTGAGCCATTTTTTCTCCATGTTTTGAGCCTCTTTCCATGATTTCCTCCATGATCTCCTCCATGTTTGTTCCATGTTTTGAGCCACTCTCCACTTCCATATTTTGGGGACACTTTAGCATGTTTTGTGGAAGAATTTGTGGAGGAAAATGGGAGAGAAAATAGCTATAAAAGGGTGACAATGTTTGAAGAGAAAGTACACAACTCCATAGAGGGGTTCTCCCCTATTCTCCCTCTCTTCCACCTTCTTCTTCTTTTCTTCTTATTGTATTCTTCTTCTCTTCTTCATTTTCCTCATTCTATCTTTTGAATGAAGCTTGTATTTGAACTCAACACTTGGAACTTGAATTGTAAGTTTATTTTCTCTTTGAATTAATTCATGCAAAATGGTTAATTTAGGAGAAATGAATGTATGTGTTGAAATTTTCTGACCTCCCAAGCAGCCCAAACGAAAAATCTTGAGGTCAAAATCGAGAACTTAGCGGAACGTATCCGAGTTTTGGAGGACTGAGTTTACAATTCTCCCCCCGATTCCCTCGTGGACAATGAATATCGGGGGAAAGTTTTGACGGATGATGAAAAACTCGATCTCCTTCTTGCTCATATGTCGGCCCAAACGACTCGACTTGAGAATATGGAGGGTGTATGCACTCGGTTGGTGGTACAGCTTGACGGTATAATAGAACGTGTTCAGTCCGTCGAGCCACAAGTCGATGAGCCCATTATCAATGTCAATCAGATTCACGGGAGCAAAACTGAAGAAGAGGAAGATGCGCTCCCAGAGATTGAGGGCGATGTCCAGATGGAGGAAACTCTCGTGCCCAAATTTGAGAGTCCCTCACTTGAGTCATCCCTCCACACCGTCGAGAAGACCCCATTTAGTCGACATGCTCCACGGACACT